AATATTCATTAGAGTGCAAGTCCATATCTAATCAAGCCTCTGCACAAGTTGAATAAAGAAGAATTGAGAAGCTTTTGCCTGGATAGTTCAACTAGATTAGAGTAATAGTGGGCAGAGAAGACACCATCGAGAGCTAAAAAGCACAAGATAAATGAGTAGGTTTTAAGGGCGCTCATTCAAAAAAGATTTGCCCTAACTGTACATGCAACAGCCACTAATTTAGTAAAGGAGCATGTAATATAAAGATAAAAATACGTTAACACTCATTTTAGTCTTCAGAAAACAATATAGTGAAGAACACCTTTTTGAAACTTTCAATTAAGTATACCAACTAGATTTCAAACATTAAGAACAGGGTTAATGGCAGCATAACTCAAAATTTTGTGGGTTTTAGCAGTTTGAGACAATTTTGATGGTCTCAGCGAGCTGCCTTTAACACTAGTTACTAACAGCTTGAAGTAACAGTACCCTTCAGAAACTGCTACAGGATTCTATGAAACACAATTACAGAATCACAGAATCATCAAGGTTGGAAGAGACCTTCAAGATCATCTAGTCCGACTGTCAACCCAACACTGCCACAATCTCCCCAAATCATATCCCCAAATTAAAGACCTCAAAAATAAACCAATATGAATTGTAGACCTTTCTGTAGACTCAAGAGCCAAGTTACTTCACTGAAGCCATTTGATAAAAATGCAATTGTCTTTCTTTTTTTTTCAAAGTCTATAAAAGGAGCAGTAAAGGGATGCTCATTTTGAAAACAAAAGGTGAGGTGTTTCCGGCTCTTTCATCAACTAAGAGGCCTTGTGATGGTTCAAGCTTCCTTTACTTTCCATGAGTATGAGAAATTTCCCAGTGTTCAGCAAGTTGCTTGGTTCTGAAGACAGTCATACAGATGCACATATCTGTTTACTTTAAATATTTACAGACTGATGCACATTTCAACTACCACTGAATAACTGAAGTGATGTAAGTGCATTCTTAGTCATGACTTAGAAGATGTGCTTATAATCCAACGAGTAAAATCCCAGACGCACTACTGCTGTAAAAATGCAGAGGTTTTTTCTAGGAAAATGTTGGTCTGGACAAATGTGAGAGCTTTTTAAGTTATATTTTTAATCTCACACAGAGCAAGTTCATTTATCCTTGACAAATCAAGAACCCTGCTGACATTCCAGTTGGTGGAAACTAGGTCAGGATTGCACCAGCCACAGGAAATGATGAAAGATAACCATCTAGAGTTCACTAAATATCTGGAAACAAATGGGAAAGGCTATGTAAATAAAAAAAAAAAAAAAAACAGCAAGAAAAACAGGATGACTTGGTGCACAGTAAGCACAGGACTAAGGCTAAAAGTAATTAAGGAACAGTTCCAATATTAAATGAACACAGCATCATATTTGTAACAAATATAAACCTACAGGAGATGGAAAAATCTGATTTATGGAATGAGCATAATATGGAAATCATTACTACTGGAGGTGTAAGGAAAAATCCTAATCTGACACACAAAATGGAAAAGAAGGGGGGGCTAATTTCCACACCAGAAACTGGGCCTACAACACTGCAGTTATAGCATGAAGGAGTTTTAAACACTGTACTAATTCATAACTGGCACAGGGGGATTACAAAACAGCAAACATGCCATATGGATGTTCAAGAATAAGAAAATAAAGAAGATCCATGAAACTACAGATTTTTTTAATCAAACACCTTATAAAATAAAAACCTGATACTATGTATTCAACAATTTTTCCTACAAAATAAATAAAGTGGAACATACCTTTCTTAGATCACAAAGTCATTTTACTCTTTTGTTTTAATAATCTTATAAAATAATTTGACGCTGTGTGCTATACAAATATAAAAAGGACTGCAAGGTCCAAAACACAAGTATGATACTTGCAGACACAAAAGCATCTAGAATACTCTGATGAAAGGTTGGCAACTGTTCCGAACAGAAATTATTAACATGCTTTCTTGAAGGTTACACAACACTTTCATTAACAATTTTTGCACGTGTCAGGTATTATTAAATATTAGTAGATATTAATATCTATTTAAGTACCTAATACAAGTAACATCTTTAAGTTTACTTTATATGTGGGTGACAATGCTTTAAAGAAAATAATCAGGATCTGAGTGTTTCCAAGAACACTATGTAAGTGTTTCTCTTCTACTTGAATTAATGCTGAACTAGTATTCCTGCAGAAAACAACATAATGCCTGAGGTATTTTCTGTTTGGAGGTTGTGTACCAATAAATCTAGAACAACATGAAACTTGCTGCACATTTGCTGTAAACAAAGGGCAGCGGAAAAAAAATTTAGCCAAAGGTATACAGATGCATATGATTATACAAAAGCTGTCAGAAGTGTACTCTTCCTCTGTTTAACCTGATTATTATCAGAACACACTCCCAAGAAACTTACTCAAAAAGCCTAGTGATCTATTCTCACTGCATTGTGAAACTCAAGCTTTTACTAGGGTTTTGGTTCCTGTGTTTCTACAGCTTATGTAAAAATACTGACTCTCACATAAACTCTAAACATTAACTAATCAGCATCATTTCAGACTGTCAGCAAGAGTCTAGATTCTGCTTTGCAGTGCATAGACACACAGGAGCTGACCCAGCCTGAAAGTACCCCATTAACCTTCCTCCTAATGGAAGGACAGTTTTCTAAAATGTGACATCTAAGGGGAAAGAATCTCAGAATATCCCACTGGAGAAATTTTTAAGATACAGGCTCAAGCCCCAACAAAGAAACTGAGGAAGAATTAAGTTACTATACTGTAATTGAGCTACAACTCCGTAGCACTCCTGGCCTAGAGAAGCATCTTACATGCAACCACAGTGTTGATCTTTTATGGCAATTGTGAAATTAAAATCTACTTAATGCAATCAGGGAGAAAAAAACTCTCTGGGAAACGTTACTTTTGATAGAAAAAGATTAGCTGAAATACATTACAATACTGTGACACATTACTTTAAAACATACCATAAATCCATTTAGATCTATCTGCTGGGTGTCTTTTACAGAATGTTAAAGTAGGACTGGGAAGGTTAACCTTATCTGACAGGCTTGCACAATCCCAGGGCAACCAACTTTTTTTTATCTTTTTGAGAACTAACATGCAGAAGAGATGACAGTGATTGCCTGAGCTATTCTGCCACTCAGCTCAGCAATTCAAAATCCTGGCTGAAAAGGACCTCTAGTGGCCATGTAGTCCAATTTCTTGTTGAAGTTGGACTGTCACCAACACTAATTCAAAGCCCTGCTGAATCTTAAGAACATTTTGAGAGTGGAGCTTCTGCCATCGCTCTGTGCTGCACTGTGGTGATTTCTTTTCCCCTCAAGCTCAGCGTGAGCCTCCTGAACTTGTAGTTCATGGCTCTCCTGAGAAGTTGTGCTCCATCATCTTTGTAACGATCCTCCAAGTGGTTGTAGGCTGCTATTACATTGTCTTTTGCTTTGCTCTTTGCCAAATATGCCACGGTCTGTTGATCTCTTCTCACAGGTCATGCACTCCAGGCCCCCACCACCCTGACACCATCTGTGAGTCCCTCTCCAGCGCTACCACAACTCTTCTGAGCTCAAGGAAGGGAAGCCAAAACTGAACACTGTATTTCAGCAGTGGTCCCATCAGTGTCAATATGGGGGGAGTAATTACTTGAAATGAGAACACACTGTTGGCTCATACTCAATTCACTGTCCACCACATATTCTCTACTGATAAAAGAACCAGATGGTTAGCTATCTGGATTACATTGTGCTTCCCTAATACTTCTATACCACACCCACTCCACTTTTGGTGATAACATCACATGAAGTGTCCAAGGTCAGGCTGGATGGGGCTCTGAACAACCTGGTCTACTGGAAGGTGTTTCATGCCCATGGCAGAGGGGTTAGAGCGGTATGATCTTTAAGATCCTTTCCAACCCAAACCATTCCATGGCTGTGATTTCTTTTTCACTGAAAGAAATGCTACCACATGCCAATATGATTTTCTACATTTGAGGAATACAAATAAAGCAAGTTAAGCTATTATGAATGTTTGTATAGAACCTGAATGCACTAGCTGGACAAATAGCTATTGAGGTTGTCCAGAGGAATCAAACTTCCTGGTGTCTGGACTTCAGAATGCAGTGCAGGGACATGCATTTAAGGACTATATAGAAAGAAAATTTTATCTCCAATAGTAGAAATATAGCTTTTTCTCAATGAAGATGGCAGTACAATACATGGTCTTAAGTACAGACTCTTTTTTTCTTCTCTGAAGTACTGTAATTCTTCACTAATCCAATGCTAGCTATAATTAGATATGCCTAAATTTACACAACTTATAAAAAAAGAAATGCATTCTTTTAAAGGATGAAGTGCATCCAAACTGCCAAAGGATATAAGAGCACAACTATATTTACTCTGATCTTGGCATACAGTTCTAAAGCAAACAACAAATTAGCATTTGGTTTTTAAACCCTCACAACAAAGCGTTTTAGTTAAACAGAAGATTAGAAGCTGTAATAATCTAATGCCTGAATATTAACTGTAGAATTAAAAAGTCCTTAATTAATCAGTGAACAGGAAAAAGAAATACATCTAGAAGAACTTGTTAAAATATTATCAAGAACTCAAATGCCTTAAATTACTCCCCAAGTCTAACAGATTTAAGAATAGACAGCAACAATGCTTAAATTAAGAGAAAGGTAAAAATCTTAAAGACTATGAGCAAAATTCCTTTTATTTCACACCTATCAATTTTTTTAACAACAGTCCTATTTAACTGAAACACCAAGGAAAAAATACACTATAAGCAGAAACGTAAGTTTATTACTTTCTGTCATTTATGTGATGAAATAATACTTGTAGCTCAATTATCTCTGCAGTTAGCAAAACATATTCCACCTACCCTGAGAAGAGTTATCATCTTCTTCATCCAGTGTAAGATCAATGACACCTCCCGATTCACTTCCTGTGACCTTCCCGCTCTGAAAGACAAAACTCCTTCATTTTGCAAAAGCAAATCCAGAGAACACAGATGGAAAAGGGACACAAACTGAATATTCAGAAGGAGAGGTCTCAATTGATACTTATTACAAGGGAACTGATGAAATGAGAGAGAAGGAAATTTCAGACAAATATCCCAGGACGTGAAGAACAGGTGATAACCAAGTGACTGTACTGCAGTAACAAGTATTAAAATATTTTTAGCTTTGTAAAGAGTAAAAAACACTGATGACTAATAGAATATTGTTGTTTTACAGGTAAATGCGTAACAATTTGCTGTTACAGGGTATACTTCAACTCTGATTCTTAACATTTCAATCTGGTTGTAATCTGTGCTCTCCTCTGTAGTAGTATAATCTTTTGACAGAACAGTCACCAGGACAATATATTATTTATCTTGAGACAGCCTGGCCTATGTGGTTATAAAGACACTGACTTCACAATAAGAAAAGGGAAAAAACTGCACTGGAACCTGTATGCTTAAAAATGTATCAAAACAATCAGAAAACTCCAATTGTATCCAGTAATTTCATTACTGCATTCTCACTCATTAGCACAAATTTTAGTATTCTGTTATTCTACACATGAATAATAATTCTACATATGAGTAGAGAGATGTAACCATCCCTTTAGCATAAAAGGATCTTTTGAGCTAAATGTTATAACAAAAAGCCTTAGAGGACCATCAAGCAAGATTTATCTTCTGGATCAACTGCTGTCCCTTGGCTGTTCAAACTGGAAGGAACAACAACATTTTCCCTTAGGTGACAAAAAATACAGAGGAGATCCTATATGGTTTTAAATATACTTTCTAGGAAAAAATCTTGAATAATATTCTAGTTCCTCGCTGCAAAAATTAGTTGTGGTTTCTTTGTTGTTGTTGATTTGTTTTGTGGAAGAGATGATCATTTATTGTTGGATTGAACTGCTACTGATTACTCTAATCCATAAATTGAGTTCCTTAGGAAGGAAAAGGGTTATAAAAGCACCATAATTATCAAAAATCTCTGAGCAGTTAACATAGAAAAAAGGGTAAGAGTTATCAGACCCACATGGTCTGTACAAATGCCGACATGATGTACTCTTCTAGGAAGATTAGAGATTTTTCTGTCCAGTCAGATGGGGACAGATGCACAAAGCCTAAGCACTGAGACTGCTCTATGACCTTTCCCTTTGGGTAAAACTAAGTCTTTAAGGAGGTCCAAAAGACAACTCTACCACAGGCAAAGCTCTGAGAGGCAAAAGAGGTATCAAATGGTAACTAAATGCAAGCAAAAGCTGTGTTTGAATTAATCAGTCACTGAATTTGGAGTGCCTGATGGGATTGTTCTCTTCATTATGCATTATTACAGCATGATTTCTTCTTGCCTCAAGTTCTGATGCTGCCACTGATGAAATTCTGCTAATAAATTGTGATACACAATTTAGGTAAGAAATATCTAACTACTTATGTTCACAGGTGATAGAAGAGATCTCTATAGTGACTCTTATCTTGCTAAACATAAACATAGTTCAGAATTATTAACCATGGAATTCTTCTGTTGAGTGGTTTCTATTTAAAGTACTTTCCAGCTTCAGTTTTCTTAGTATGATGAGCTGATTTACCCACTTGAAACCATAAGATAAAAGGTACATTAAAATAATCAATGATAAATTGATTAGCATCAAGTTAAGAGGAATTTCATTCCAACTTGATGATCTTCCCAGTCAACAATATGTATTTGACTGACAAATGGTTCTCTCTGCCAGGGGAAAGAAGATTGAAAAATGGAGAGGGAGATTTATAAGGAACTGGAAAAAGAAAAAACTAACACCAAAATACTAATTTCTTTCCACTATAAAATACATTAGTCTGAAATAAAATAATTTCCTTTAAGTTCTTCCTCTGCAAGGAAATAAAAATCCTTAGAAAAATACTCTGTATGACAGCTGTTTTGAAGCCCTACTTGACTGTGCTAGTCAATAAAGTTCTTAGAGCTTCCAGGTATCTGGAAGGTCAAAATCTGGAGTTAGTTAAACAGGCAAGTATTAAATCAGCTGACGAGGTTTCATTCATGCAATTCTCAGGAGGAAAGACCTTCTCTTAGTCAGCCACACTATTCAAGGTTTTCTTCTAAGTGACCCTGACAGCAATCTCCTCATCAGGAGCTATCCATCCATAAGTAGTTAGGTTCTTTCAGAAACCCACACTAGAAGCTGCAGATCAGCAGGGCAGCCTTTCGAGCGGTGCTCTGTGGTACATCCCCCAGTCTTGGTTCCAGGGCACACACTCCAACTACTCCAAGCAGATGCTGTACCTAAAACACAGCACTCCATGCAGTCCTGACTCCCCAGCCTCCCCAACTAGATTCCCCTTTGTTCACCAACCATGGATTTCCCTCAAATGAAAGACAGGGGTACAAGAAAATATTAGGGAAACTTGAAAACCCCCAAATGCCGAACACTGTGTTTCCTACCTAGGGGAGCACGGTGTAATCCCCACACAAAACACAGTACTAATTATGCCTCCCATAAAGGCATCCACCAACATTCAAAAGGAGGCAAAGTATCCATTTCTATATTCTGTAGTGTTGGCACACAGTTTTCAGATACCTGTAGGTATCTCAACTCCAGGAATGAAAAGCAAATTCAGAAACAAGTCTTTCAGCTCCTAATTTAGATTTCAGCAAGCATTTGGGTAGAAACTGGTAAAGCAGAGAAGCAAAGTCAAAGCATTCTGGTCTACTATGACTTTTTAGTTATCTCCAAACACAGGAATCCAACAACATTAACCTGCCTCAGCTGATCTCTGCAGAAGAGCAAGATGATGAAGTCTTAACACCTTTTCATCAGTGCAGTCACACAAACGACATAACTAAAATCATTTAATGAGAACTCCAAACATATACCTGGTGCTTCAGTTCACATATTGCCTAGTAAGTCTTAATAACAAAAGATTCAATCATCTTAGCATATCAAATAAGCTGAAACAAAACCAAAAAACCTACATCAATATAAAGTGATTTGTATCTATTTAAAATGTCACAGTTACAAAAAACAAATGCAAAACCAAAACCAAAGCAAGGCAACCAAAGTAGACAAAATCAAACCTCTGCAAACAACCCTTTCATCATTTGTCAGAAACAGCTCACCACTCTCCAAGTAGACCACAAGTCTCATTAAATCTGTTTGTTTACAATAGCATCTGGGTAATTTCTAGTAATCAAGCAGAAAAAAAGTTTTCAGTGAGACTGAAAAGAAATGTAAGCTGCCAAACTCCCTTCTCCACCCTTCTGAAAGGCTCATGTATCTTAATGTATATGCCCTTAAATTCCAAGTAAGTAGAAATCCTCCACGATACTGCCATACTGCCATTTTGGACCTGTTTTATCCATAGCAGGTGAGCAAAGTTTGTACTGCCTGGAAGTAGCAACATTACAGACTGAGCCATTCAGTTAACCACAATGTATCTGAGCTGCCTTCATTTAAATTTCTTTCTGCTTTCTTATGGCAGCCAACAGTGTAACAATCTTAAAACAATGCCATGAAAAAAGTGAATTAAGAATGGAATTAAAAATTAAACCTAACAAATCCTACTCTGGAATGTCAGAGTTTTAAATATATATCTGTGAAAAAAATATTAGGAAGAAAACAAGAAAAATACGTGTCTTCATATTTTCCTAACTTCCTAATTTTAATATAGTCACGTGTTTATTCTTCAGCTGGTAGGTGAACTTAAATTTGCAATTGAGGTATTTTGCATGAAAGCAATGTGTGTGGTAACTGAACATTTCATACTGAAATCTAATGTAGATCCAGTCCAAGAAGACGCATGCAAACTTGAGAGCTGAAAGGCAAAACATGAGGTGAAGCCAGGGAAGAGGACTGCAAGATATGATTAAGAGCAGAAACAAAGGAGAAAACGGAAGGAGGAGGAGGAAAAAAGGTAGCAGGGAAAAGAAAATAACAGCCAAGCAGCAACTGAGCAAGCACCACCACAAACATGGGAGAAGATGGGGTAAGTGTACTGTGAAGTTACTTTGCTATGCTCAGTGTTGTGCATCTCTCCTGAACCAGCCCACCACGGAGAAGACTTTCAATGAACAATCTTGATCTGTTTTAAAAAGTGTGTTCTTTAAAGAAAATCTTGTAAAATTGCAGCCCCTCTGCCCCAGCTGCTTCAGTCTGCAAAGTCACGTCTGCACGGACTGCAATTACCAATATGTAACTGTCTGCGTGCCAGATGCCCCAGGCAAGCATCTAACTTGGCAAGTGTGAAGGAAAAGTATTTTAATAGCAAGCAGATAACTTGTGAAAGCAGCAACTGAAAGACCCTAGAAGAAAGGGCACAACTGAAAAAGTAACTACTCATCCCTTTCAAATATCTAAGTGAAACTTGCTAAGACCTCAACCAGGGAGATGCCAAATCGTAACCTCTTCTAAACACCTCTTCATCAGTTAAGCTGAAACTGTTTTATAGTGCATATGGGAAACAAAAGAATGAAAAGGAGGTATAAAATGAGTGCAACTTATTCAGATTTCTGCATTTTTTCTCACGTAATATTAGAAACTGGTATTTCTAGTTGTTCTAACTGCAAAACTTTTGCTCAAAAGTGATCTATAGTCCTGAGTAATGGTTTTCAGATTTTACCATGAAAACCACTAGAAACAGACTTTGTTTTAATGACTTTTGTAAAATCTCTATTCGTATTTCAGTAATTACACTTTAATTCAGAATTTTCTACAATCAATCAGTAAAAATGACCTATACTCAAATTTCATGCATTTTCTACTGCATACACCCAGACCATACATCTGCTTTCTTCCAATCCCAACCATATTCATTTTAAAAGTTAAAGAAAATACTGAGATACAGATGTGCTGACAAATTAAGATATACTTATGGGGAGAAGCAAGAATAATACAGTTTTCTTTGAGAATGAAAATAATTATATAGCGACTTCCTGGAACCAGTGTCATATGGATATTATAAAAATTTTTAAAAATAACTATAATAGAAGAAGGGTTCTTAGGAGTAATAAAAACCCTGGAACTTGTAAAAAAATGCATAAATGCAGTGAATAGGGCCACCTGAAGTCACAATTAAGACTTGCAATAAAACCAATGTAAATGTTTTATAATTAAGAGCTTTCCTCTTTCTTTTGGAAGACTGTCATTATATCCTCTATGTCATTGACTGCAATATCTAATAATTAACCTACACACTGGCAAATGATAATGGCCAGTCTTCGCGAGCGAAGATCCGGGGAAGGGTCTTTACTCCTTCCAGCCTGCGCATTGGATTTTTTAGGTGAGACACAGTGTGCGTGGAACTGAGCCCACCCTTTAATCCTAAGGTTCATCTGCCGGGGCCAAGCGAGCTTGGACGGTGGCAGCGAGGTCCTCAGGACGTAGATGGATAGCCTACAGGGCTAACGAGCTCCATCTGCCCAGGTAGTGGCCCTGACCAGAAATCGAACCCGGGCCTCGGCGGTGACAGCGCCGCGCCCTTAATCACTAGACCACCAGGGGCTCCCACACTGGCAAATAGTAAACTAATAAAGGGGAATCAGAAAGGAATCAGCCTCACAATAAAATGAAGGGCTGTTTCTGGTGTTCAAGTGATTCTGAAGCAGTTTCCTCATCTACCTCTAGAGAAGTAGGGACATTGAGACAAGCTACTATCATATGTTTTTCCACATGCTGAACCATTTTAGTGTTGTACACTACACTGTAGTGGGAGAAAGAATGTCACCTTAGCTTTGCTAATCAGCAACTTTTTCAGACCATTACTACTACAAATGAGGTTGATTCATCATTTGAATTTTGAAAAGAAAGAGAAAGAAAAAATGCTGGGGGTGGGTGCCTGTAAAAGAGCTATTCCAATTCCACAAGGAAAACAAATGCAATGAAGGAGATCATATTTAAAGGTCAAAGCACAAATGGCAGACATGATATTGAGAAAGGAGGTTATCTCCCACCATAACTACAACTGTGAAGTTAAACACAGAAAGAAGTTACATCATCACAACATATATACGTCAATGGCAAACTACTGTAGAACACTGGGAAAGAAATCTCTAAAACTCAAACTGAACAGCTGGGTAACATGCACATGTACCGTACCACATGAAAAACCAAAAGCTACATGTTGGTATTTTGAAGAAAGTTCTGAATATGCACTTCTCTATTTAAATATGATGTATAAGATTTAAAAATTTTGGTATTATATAACGCCACAGTTCAGTTCATCAAATAGAGAAAACAATGTTATTGGTTGTAATGCCACCTGCTTTTCATAAAGGAACACTGTAGTATGTAAAAGTTAAAAATAAGGAGAAAAAAATGCATCAACAAAAAATACATTGCAAACTAAAAATTACTTCTAGAGTAGTAAAGGTCAAATTCTGAAGATTACGTGTGGCACACTTGACACAGTGCAAACAATTTTATTAATAATAGTTTCTACTGTAACAAACTAGAAAAAAATCTGGAGGTTGCAAACCAGACAATCCATGAAGCATCACACCACCACAATAATACATGACGCACCAAGGCGTTATATAATAGCAAAATCAATCTTAAATTATGGGGAGTGATGTTAAAAATTTGTTTTGGGAATGATGTGCGTGTGGAGACAGTGGCAATACTGTGTTTGTATGCATAATTATATGGTTGACGTTTCATTTTTAGTCGTCCATATACAAAACTACAGATTTTGACCACAGTCTAAGCAGTTGTGGAAATGACCTTTTTTATACATTTTTGAGCACATTTCAGTCACTGACTGTTCAATGTCAGACTTATCACTTCTTAAGAGTTATCTTTCCAATGCAATAACTTCCACAAAATTGAAGTAATTATTTCAGCCTTGCAAAGATGTCATGAAAATCTACTCAACCAGGTACCAAATATATTTGTCATATCTTACCAAAATAAAAATGAAAATGAAATGAACAGTTTACCAAGATCATAGTTTACAAAAATGAAATTTCACAGGGCTGCAATACATGTTTTGATATTGTGTGGTTGCATACTTATATAATACTCAAATACTTTTAACAGACATTTTACATATTGCATTCACAAGATTCCTGCATTCCCTTTACCCTTAACTGGTACTGTGCAACACTTCCTATAGAACAAGAACAATACAAGCATGGAAAAAATTAATGACCTGTCATAGTAACCCCTAAGTATTATATACCCTCTAATTTCTTTGGTGCAAAGATCAGAGGTTGCCTCAGCTACTCCTATTTACAAGAACACAAATAAGAGACTGGTTGCCAGAAAAGCTGGTTTTAGATGCTAGCAATCACAATTCCAACTAAAAGTTATAAAGAAATACTTAACGCCATACTAACAGTACTTTTCTACTGCTGTGATTTGCTTTCTCCTTAATCAAACAATTAAAAGGGTATATAATAAATACATACATGCGTGCATGTGCACACACGTCTCTTTACTGGATCTTACTCTCCGAAGGTGAAACATCTACCTAGTTTCCCCAAAGCCCAGTGACAGTTCCCCAACAGCATTATGTAGCATGGCCATCTTGGATGATGGAAGTCCATCTTACTAAACAAACAGTACATATGTTTGTAATACTTTTAGGATTTGTTTAATGCAGCTTTTAAAAGCTATTATCCATGTCTGAGGTAATGATATAATCAGATTGTTTTAATATTTTTCTCGATTTTTTTGGCCCCAAATAAGCCTACAATGCACAAATATATTTATTCATTAAAAGCAGCTCTCAGTAGCTGGGGGTGGTTTAGGTAACACAGATATGGTTGCAGGGAAAGACAAATCACTTTAGAAGTCACACAAGAATGGATTCACTTTAATTTTGTTCCTTAAAACAGTCATCCAATTCAGCTACGTGACATCCTGGTAACGTCTTTATAATTTAGATTCCTAATTAGTCTCAGGCAAAGGTTCCACCTTGCAGATGAAAGCTAACAGCATTTTAAACAGCATAAATATAACCCCAGGGTCAAAGACAAAAGTCAAGTAGCCCATTTTACATATATACTTATATATGTTTATTTTCAGTAACAAAACCAGGAAATGCAAGGAAACATATTCATCAATAATGCTTCAACAATATAGAATTAATAGCTGCTTATAAATTGTAAGCTGACATATCCACTTTGCTCACATTATTTCCAAAGAGACATTCACAAAGTTTAATACACATTGCAAAGTAAAGGGATAGGAGTTATAAATGTACTTTATTAACATTTTACCAGATGAACTTCCAACAGTCAGCAAAATAGCTTAAATTAAACTGTAGTTTAACCAAACAAATCCAGGTATGTCGAAAACAATAGGAAATGGATAGAACACTGCGGACTTCAATTTAAAAAACTAGTATTACTTCAAAAGTGAACTGCACAGCTGAAATTTAGACTTAAAAAACGGTTTACTCCATAAGAGGATAAGGTGCACGGAGTAGGAAACAGGGGAAAAAAGACTATTCACCTGACCTGGTGCTTTAATAAGTATGATGCAATCATTCTTGAAGATTGGCTTAGGCCAGCTGTTTTTAACATATCCAATACTGTTCAAATTTGTTAACTTTTACTTTATGTTACAATATAATAAAAGTTGCTTTCATAGATTCTTTCAGTATACCATAGCTCTATTTATATATTATATATAATATATATAAATCCTGTATCTATAACTGGGATACATACTAAAATACTTTGAAAACCATTCTAAAGATTTGGTATATAATTAAAGATGCCTTTGCCTCTGTAACAGTAATATTTACCCCAATACATTAAAAGTGCTTGTCATGTCTTCAGAAATGCAACTCTAGGACCCCAGGCGCTGCAATGGCCATTGGTAAAATGTCTGGGACTGATTAACAACCCTTAAATGTCTGTGTATGTAGGAAAAAAGTGAAAATACGAGACTAACACAAACGTAGTAAGACGTCCCCTCCCACATCCCTGTGGCCACTCCTCTTGGAGCAAGAAACAGAGGAACACAGGAAAAGGAGAAACAGTCATACAGCAAAACCATATGTCCAAGCTGCTTACTGGAAACTTTGACTGTACTGACCCCTAAACAGCAATTACTGAGAAACTGTACAGTTCAGGATAACCAAATACACCAGACTAAAACCACAACAAACCCCAAAACACATTCAATTTCAAAGCATCTTTTCAACGCCTTCAAGTATTTGACACTCTGCACAAAGGAGCTCTTCACATGGAACAGAGAAGATGCACAGAGCAAAGAAATTTTAACATACTGTCAGATACTGTGCCAACGTCATAAAAACAAAAAGTAATTAGGGTACCCCTTGAAGTAACAGCTGAGATTTTCAAACTTAACAGGAAAATTCACAGAAAACAAGTCCTAGATTCACAGCACTAGTACCGAAGCTAAATTATGAAAATGAGATACAAACCTAAATTTATGGATGTATTATATAAGGTTCCAGTCATTCCCGTTTTCAGAGTCATCTCCCTCAAGGGAAATGGAATTTAATCAATAACACAGCAGCCAGCATTTAAAAAATTAGTTCAGTTGATTTAGGCAAGATTAAGTGCTGGGGTTTTTTTTGGCAACTGAAATAGTCTTATTTTAGGGAAAGACCTAATTAGAAAATTCAAGCGTGACAGATGACAAATTTCTTTCAAAGAATATTTGTTATATTCAGATTTTTAAAGTGAATTTTAAATTTTGCATCAAGTTTACAGCCAAAGTCTAAATTTAAGTTTAGACAAACAAACTGTACTTAACCCGTTGGTTCACCAACCAGTTTCACTTATAGTAGGAAAGCAACAGGAAAAAAGGAAACTCTTATCCTGCTGTTTGAGGTTCTCTGCTGATACTGTGCCTGAGGAGTACAATTCATGTCCATTTTGATACAATTCATGATGTTCACAAAGCATAACCTGTACTACAATGAACAAAACTGACTTGAAACTTGACCCCCTGCTCCCAGTATTACTGTACACATACCCAAAATACTTTACAAAAGCAGCAAAACACCCATTCTGTTTGTCTGCTTCAGGTTTTCCAGAAACAAAATACATGTAGGAAAGATTCATTTAATACTTTAGGTGAGAGGCGAAACAGGAGAAAGATTTTTCAGTTCTGGAAGGTTAGAAACATGTTCCATTCATAAGAATCAATTCAAACATTAATGGAAAGCTTAGGGAACAATGACCCCAGTTCCTGTAAAGCAACACTTCCAGTCCAAACTAGGAATACTTTTTCTCATTAAAAAAAACCCTCTCCCATACAAAGAAACCAGAAGCTAGTAATACTGCAGTCAGTAGCTTTGAAGTATCAGGTTCAAACTGAAGGTACCAAGAGGACACTGTTTAGTTGGTGCCAACAGAATTAGAATTTAACAAATGAGAATCCAAAAATACCCAATTATATGCCAACAGAATGGAAGTCAAGTTAGAAGCCAAATGATGATCAAAAAGAATCAGAGACATGCCAAGATTGGCCAAAGATTCCCTTTTTCTATTTCAATCACCGAGTAGATTTGTGTTAAAGCACAAAGCCATTAGCAATATGCTGTTACAGAAAGTCACCCAGATGCACTTAGGACCAGAGCAGGGCATGTGCCCAGTATGACCACAGTACACAGCAAGAGGGAACAAAAAAGAATAATCTCCTGGCAACACACTTTACATGTTTCTGCAGGATAAATGTACAATGCCAGTATGCTGGAAGAAGCAACTACCTGAGAAAAAGTGTGTGTGTTGGGGGGAAGTAATACATACCCATCCTGGTGAAAGTTTAGGGTGAATTTCTTCAAACAAGAAATTAAATTTGGCAGTGTGGCTGAATTATGAATTCTGTGAATCCCTAAAATTTGGAAATCTACATTACCCTAAATATATACCTAGATTGTATATCTAGAGTAAGTTCTCCCATATTTTAAGAACTTTTTGCCCTTTTTTTTTCCACTTTTTCTTTTATCTAGCAATTAGAAAGGATTACTTCTTTACCATTTCTATTTGATTTATTTTAGGCTTGACAAAATTATAATTCTGGATCCATGCTTTCTTTCCTCTAGTCATTGATGCTGTCAGTTACTGTTGCAACTAAGGAAGTAGAGGACTGTGCAGAAATAATTCTTGTATTAACAATTACATCTGATCAACGATCTCAATCATTACAACAGCAGTAAATAAAAGTGACTGTAAATATAATACACAAGATGACTACAGAACTTTTAAAACTTTTTAATTTTTAACATGATCCATCAGAAAATGGATCATTGTGCTAGTCTTACGCTTTGGAAAACTGATGCATTAAGTATGGGTAACCTACCCAAGGCCACAAAAGTAAACATTATCAGCCAAGATAAAACCTCCGAAGTTCAGCCATGGAGCCCTCTGTGCAGACTATAGCGGTGTCTGTGTAGACTATACACTATAATAGAGCAATAAATCTCATTCAATATTTGAAAGCCTATCCCAGCCAGGAAGTTCTCCACAGAATTAAAGAGTTTATCATGGTCAATCTGTCATTTCAGCTGGGATTTTTCTCTATTTTGTCCACTGCTGAGCAACATAAAACACTTCCAGTGAAGCCCTTCGTGTGATAAACCATGTGGTGCACGTGTGTACACACATTTGAAAAGGACAAAGCAATTCTTATTTCATTCAGTTAATATAATGGAAAAGTTTTAAACGCTACACTATTTCTTCTTCCAAAGCGGACCTACCATAACTGTGATCCTATAACCAGTTTTCCGTTTTTATTTACAGGAAGATCTCTTATTTGTCAGAATCTCTGACAAAAATTATTAGTCCCATATCCACTATCCTGAGAATTTCTAATCTGTAAAGATCTATGGAAAATTTAATGACAGGATCAATTTACTACTCCGAAGAAGTTAAAACCAAAAATAATATCTGGATAAGGTTCAGTGGGGAAGAACAGGACATACTTCTCATGAATTATACTATACTGCAAAGATGATGTGAAATGTAATGAAAGGGTGAGAGGAAATACAAAAAAACCTTTCACAAGCACAGAGACAACACTTGAACTCTAATTACCTGCCATTTAAGCAACAAACCTGTCTTCAGCCCTTTTGAGAATGTTTTCCCCATTTCATGCATAACTGAAGAGATCTCAATTTTAATACCATGCATATCAAACAGTGCCTTTGGAGAACAGAATGACTGAAATCTTAAGCCAAAATATTAGATAGGAAAAGGAAAGACCTGCAATGCAAATATGCAGCTCACAGAGAAAAACCAATTTAGAGGAATGGTAAAAAAAAAATAAAGGCACAATCCTCTGGTAGGTCTGATAACAATTTGAACAGAGGGCAACAGTGGTCAAGCAATTCCAGGTGTTTTCATGAATATGTATATATTTGTAGTGCATCTGCATCTATTTCATTCAGCTTCTACCTTCTTGGTGCTCTTCAGTAATCGAGTATTTGATTTGTAAGATGCTACATCAGTGCCAGCAGGCACAAAATGGTATGATAAATACACTCTTCACAAAATATAAAAGCCACACTCTTAGTGAAGAAAGCGTATCTTCAACTAAATGGAAATCTGTATTTCCCTTTAATAGCTCTGCTCAGCCATCTAAAGAGTCCCAGCTGCCACAAAAAGTCATACCAACTCCAAGCCCTGCTCTGTTTAAGTTTCTGTTGCATAGCTCACATCATGAATGCGAACAGCATACTTCTTGCTTAACTAGACCATAAGAAATTTCTTAGTAGACCAAGTGAAAAAACAAATCTGGTAATTTTTCCATTTTAGCAATTCATTTGAAATCAGTTCCATTACAGAAGCATCAAGTCATTGGTTCTTGTTTTATCACACGCTTTATAAAGACAGGTTTGTTACAACAGCCTTGAAGGGGAGCGGCAGTTAGGTTCCCGCTGGTCACATTCCTGGGGAGAAACACCTTGGAAGAACTGTGGTTCAACAGGACAGGGCTTCTGCAATTTAGGGCTGGGTGTCCCTCAGGAACTAAAGCCACAGAATTAGTGCCAGGTGGCACCACAGATTTTGTAGGGAATAAAATTTTGTTTTGTTCTAGAACAATGTGTTTTACAGAAGAGGTGGAGGCACCAGATAGTGATTCTTTTATCACTTCATTTGGGATCTTGCTATATAGGTAACTGGGGGCATTATTTTCCATTATATCTGACCAGGCCCTGTAGCGAACCTCTGCAGATCCCCAGTAGTGTCTAATAGCAGACTCGGAGCGATGGCCTGTCACTGCCATTATTTCTCTAGGCCCCAGTCCTGCTTCACACAGTAGCTGGATGGTGGTAGTTCGGAGAGAATGATTGGTGTACCGCTGAGAGAGCTGGGCTGCCACACTTATCCTGGGCATCATGGTACCCAGGTAATTCACCCCCATTGGTTCTCTTTTGTACCAGACAGACTGCTCTTGCATTTGCTCTGATGTTAGCTTTAAGGGGTGCAGATAAAAGGCAGGGGGTTCTGGAGGCAACTTGGACAAATAAAGTTCCAATGAAAAAACAGGACAGTTTGGGTCACCTGGCATATCATACATTTTACCCATTTTATGAGGATCTTCTCCATTTTTTCCTTTGCCAGGATACCTAAACATAGCATATCGACGCCCATTCTTGTCCTTCTCAACAACAAATGCATCTGGAGCCAGATCTCTCAAAATTTCCCTCCCTCTCTTGGCAAAATGCAACTGCAAATCAAACCACACCTTGTTGACGAGTGCCAGTGGACTGTGCAAACCCAGCACACCAGACTGTTTAATCTTACGCAAGTCCTCAGCAGCTATAGGAGGATGGTGGTGAGTCTCATCCTTCCCCTGCATGCGCAGCATCTTCAGCACGCTCACAAACACCATGTTTGCACTAGCAAACTCTTTGTCCTTCATTAAGCAAATCTGACGATTATAAGGTGGCATTTTGAGATGCCGGTTTAAGCCAGCCCGCATTGACTTGTAGCTTGCCACACTGTAGGTATTTCCGTCATGATTTCTTATTGTGTAATAAAACTCTCTTAAGATATCATTGAGTTCACTCACTGGGACCAATTCAAAGCTAGGATCCTTGCCATTTTTGGCCAGCCACTGTTTTAATAGGTTAGCTGCCCAGCCAGTCTGCTTGTGGGTGTTTTTGATGCTCTTAGCATCCTCTTCCTCTTCCTCCAAGCCAAAGAGGACATCCTCAGGGAAGTTAAAATTCGTCTGTGCTGCTTCTACCGCTTCTTTATTTTCTGATGAAGTCTCTTCCTGTTTCAACTGCTTTTCGAAACAATTGATCAAAGTTGTACCATCAAATATGCCACAGGTATACGGCACACAGTGAACTACTTTTTGATCTGAGAGCTGTGAAGTGTGGAGTAATACGTAATATTTTGGATTTTATGTAACAAAAAGCAGGTGGCATTAACTGGATTTTTCAAATGATATGGCATGTCAATTCCATACCTCACTACCCAATTAAAATGTATCAGGTCTTTTTTAACCATGGCATTACACATGCTTTAACTGATTTCTTGGAAAGCAAACCTAGAACATACACAACAACAGAAGACTGAAAACTGGAAAACATCCTATGTCATATTTCCCTACTCCTTGCTCACCTTCCATTGCTAAATGCCACTATCATACACAATCTGGTTTTCCAAATTTTGTTTCCAGGTTTCAGACTCTAACTGAAAAAAATTCCAGAATATGCATCCTATACTGAAAATTAAATCTTAAAACTGTACCTCTGTCATCCATTCTCGTACTGGATTTCCTATGTATCAAGTACTTACGAGTGTTTTAACAGCTATAATCCACAGGTATCTTTGAAAAATGAAGTTCCAAACAACCATTTGCTATGAAATGCCTTAATAACAAGGTAGAGTGAGGGACAGTTTATACACTAAAATACTGGCTACCTTTGCCAGACTATTTCTGTGACAGGTGAAAACCAGAACATTGTCCAGTATATTTTCTTCTTGCTTTGAAATACAGTTTAGATTTAACTGTACCTTGAACACTAATGAATTTGGAAATTTTGGCTGGAATAAATGAATTTTATTCACCTTAATAAAATGACTTCTAACAGCAACATATAACTATGAGGTGCTTTCTGAAATACGTATATACAGAAAGAAAATTATGTATGAATGATTTTAAATAGTTTAATTTCAACCTTTAAATTTAAAAGTAAGTTCAACAAATTTTAGACAAGGACTCCAGAAGTACTACAAGTTCTCCTTTATCATGAAGTAGCTATTCCTGAAGAAAGTTTGGTTTCCTTTTTTATTTTCCTATGATATCTAGCAATCAAACATCAGAATTCCAATTTTAACTTCTGGATTAACGTAAAAATAAGAGCATTTTAATACTTTATAAAGTATTTGCAGCTTTAAGTTCAAGCCCTTCAGACAAAGATGGGGCAGGTTTTCTTTGTATATTAACTCTGTTTTATCAGACAAATTTTTAGTGTGCTCCTGATTTACGAACTCATCTGCCTACACAAACCCCATCAGAAAACTTCTGAAAAGATTATCAGAAGTTCATGCTCCAAATAATACTCCGAATCAGAAGAAGAAAAATACAAACGGACAGCAACTAGAAAGGATGGCACAGAGAGAAATTAAAACTGTTTCATTATAAGCAATAAAGATAAAGAACTTTTCTCCTGTGGATTGTAACTTTAGAATTTTATATAAAAACAATCAGCAGCCTACCTGTGTTGTTCCCTCAGCAGTTCGCTTGTTTGCCGAAGTATCTGTTGGTGGCCTGCTTGTCTGGTTTTCTGGGGGGTCAAGAAAGTGTTCATTTGCAGTATTTAATCAGTACTAATTACTGCTATCCACTATACAAATTTGGAGACAATATTCAAAATTGTTTGGTACTAAACAATCAGTATGTGGCATATCTAACATTTAGCCCTTATTTTCAATTTTAAGTATTCAAGTTTGATTAATGTGTTCCCTTCCTTGTAAATTTGACAGTGTATTATAAACATTTTATGAGCAATACCCTTGCCTATCTGAGTACAAAGTATAACTCCAACCTCTCTTCTGTCTGTATGCAAATCGACATGATACTAAACTGAAAAAATATTACAATTATTAAATATTTTTTGACCAAAAAAATTGACTGAAAAATGGATGGTTAAACAGACTGCAAAATGTATAACTGAGAAGATTTGTGCAGGAAGACTGAGTATCTTTACTAACTCAGCCAAGTATCTAAATGTATCTGAACTTAAGAAGTTGCCTGAACATTTCATGTAAACATTTAAATTCAAATTCTCTCCCTTTTTATTTTAACCAGTGTTGGCCCAAATCGGTGTTTCAATTCTGGTGAGAAAACTCTGTATACTAAGGCTATGTGAACTGCATAAAATGAGACACATTTTTTGGACACCATAGTTCCTTCTTTGTGTCACTGGGTCTCATCTGGCACAACCCCTTTTACCTTGTTTTAAATAATTTTTATTTGCTATAGAGCAAGGAGTCAATACAAAACAAAAATGTCCAGCTCCACAGAAGACATTGCAACACAGGTAACTTAGAGATGGGAAAATTAAAAGAAACTAATTCTGATGTCAAGCTCTGCTTGAGTTCATTTTAACATTATATTGTGCCAATGATGAACTTGCTATAACTCCAACTCATAAATCTTGAAGACCTCTTAGAAAAAAGAAATCCAGGTATGCAAAATCAAAAGTGCAGAGAATCATCATAGCATGGACAAGGACTGAAAGAAAGTATTTTAAAATAGTTAATCTAGATACCATTATTTGAACATTTATTGTGTTTAGAGACTTTATTTTAAATACTATAAGTGTACTTCTTTGGAACTAGGTTAGTATTCAGTAGTGGTTTTTTCTCCCATTTTATTCAGTTTCAAGTGTTGTGCAAATTAAGCTACTGATTATACTTTCCTCTCAGTATGTCTTTGCTTAGAAAGGCAGTCAAGTTATTTTGAGAGGCTGTATTAAAAATAAATACCAAGTTGTTAATGGTAGAATAGAGGAGTTTCTGACTTCCTGCTAGGAATTACATAAATCAAGTTCCAAATAAAACAAAGCTTACAAAGCCACACTGTTGACTCCTCCTAAGGAGGGATTATTTTCAACAATGTCTGAAACACATCTACCATACAGACGATTTTCATCTTGAAAATTTCAACAGAAATGCAAACCAGAAGAATCATCTCTCCAAAACACACTAACAAACAAATTTCCACAGAAGTGCAGTTTTGTCTTTCCCTCTGGCAACTGTTTTCTTCTCCCAGTGTTAACATTCAAGCATTACTTACCAATCTTGGGTGCTGCAACGGTGGGTGGTTCGGTAGGTGCCGTATTATTAAATGCAGAGACAGGAATCTTCATCTGTAGGGGCGCTCGACTGCTGGTAGCAGTATAAAGTCCTGAAGTACCCACTGTGGGCAAAGAAGTCCTTGTGGTCTGGGCAACAGGATGTGCAGTAGAAACAGCCTGTACTGCCAACGTTGTGCCTATTGACCCAGCACTGGTCGTAGAGTTCCTTTGAATACCAGGACTGGGCACATGTGGAACGCTATTTGGTTTAGTTGTGTTAGTTGATGCCAAAGACACTGTAGATTTGGTAAGGCTACCAACTGTAGATGAGTTTTGTACAGATATAAATTCAACATTGCCTGACTGTTGGTTAGAGACCAAAGTCCCTGGGTGGCCTTGCAGAAGCTGAGGCTGGGATGACACTGCAACAGGGACATGCAAGATTACGGGCAAAGACTGCAGTGAGACAGCCACTGACTGAGTATTTCCAGTGGGCACCTGGTTAGTGCCTACAACCGTAGCTGTGTTAGCTGTGGGAAGAACTGCTGTCGTCAAAGAGGTGGTGGAGGTCACTGGAGTCTGAAGCTTAGGATGTCCACTGACAACTGTTGGAGAAGGAGCAAGACTGGAAGCTGGCACTACACACAAACAAATTAATAAAAAAATTAAGTATTTGAATCGAGTGGGAAGTTTCACTGCAGCACAAGAAATGCCCTATCGTTTTAAGTGTTCAAAGTCAGGCTGGACAGGGCTTTGAGTAACCTGATCTTGTGAAAGATGTCCTGGTCCGTGGCAGTGGGGTTGGACTAGATGATCTTTAAAGGTCCCTTCCATTCTATAAACGAGGTGGTGTATGATTAATTTTTTTTGCAAATAAAGGCTATAAATACTGTTTTTCTGTTGTACACTCTGATATGCAATGGCCTAGTTAAAAACACAGTCAATACTGTACTTCTGCTTGAAAGAACTGGCGAGAGCAAAAAATATAAGGAATGATGACAAACAGGCCTGAAGAAAGATCTAAGATTTACATAGATGGGAACACATAAAATACAGCATTTTAAACACTCATTACAGGAACTATAGAGCAACTGATCCTTCACAAAACACAAGAAAAGAAAAACTATGTCAATTATGACTAACTTGCCTTGTATAGGTAGGAGTTTGCATCCAGAAGGTTCTACTTAAACCAAGTATTAATGTGTCAGAGAAAACACTCACTTTTATGCAACAGAATTTCAGGATTAAATCCAAAGATCATGAGCGTAATACACTACTGAAAGCCTATATATGTCTACTATGAGATAATTCTGTGGAAAAGATTCAGTATTCAGTATGAAAGTAAACTATTTTTAAAATCAAGGATGGTGAGACTACAATGAACGTAGTTAATGGCAGGTTTGAGTCTACATTCCCTATGAAATTTTAATCTAGAAATTCCATTTTTCAACATGATTCTTTTAAGAAACGGGGTTTGTAACATCCATTTAGTTTCCCACTCAAATTCTGTAGCCATTAGGTGGAGGGGAAGATATCAGCATCCTACTATGATCAAATACAAAAAGGGGCCTGAGCCATGTGTTTCACTTCTTGGCAGCTGAAACTCTGCCAGTTTTGCTGTCATACCCAGCATGTAGTCTCCTGAAGTATCTAATTTATCCTAATCTAATTTTGGCTGGCCAAATCAACACATTTTTTCACATACCTGGTAAGTGCATTGCACAAATATAAACCAGGAATGTGGTAGAGAGCTAACAATAATGCTTTTTCATGTCAGAAAAAAAAGAAACAAAATTGGGTTTGCTCTGTTTAGCTAGTTACTTCTTTAATGGAAAGCAATAAAACTTTTAAGAAATGTGTTTACAGTCCATAGGGAGTTTCTTACCTGTACTTATAGGTGCTTGAAAAGTTGCTGGTGTGCTCTCTCCTACATTCCTCTTTGACTCCAGCATCTGCCTCACTGTGCCAGCATTTCTACGGAATGAAGTTTCAATTAGCATTTCTCAGTAAGTCACATCAGGTATATTTATGAACAGTACAATAGTGAAAAAATCCCCTTATTTTAGAGCTATTCTTTCCATTCAGATTTTCTAAACCCATTTTTTGGTCCTCATGCAAATTAACTTTGAATATTTTCCTACTAAAAAAGTGCAGATTTATTTGTACATTTTCAAATGCTTTCACCAAGTTTGCCTTCCAGTATGAGAATTTTCTTGTTCTTGAAATTAAACTTCTACTTTTATCCACAATTTTTAACCACTGAAACAATATCCCAATTTACCTAAGAATACATTCAATACTGTCAATTTATGACTTCTGTGGAAGTAAACTGAATTTTACAACTGAAGAGCAATGAAGGAAAAGGAAGAACACTTTAATAATAATAATAAAAAAAAACCAACTAGGATTATCCATGACGTGAGGTGTCTGAAGTATCCTACTGTAAATTTTAACATGGTCACAGCGATGTGGTTTGCTTACCGATACGTGGCATTGTTTGTATTTGCAGTGTCAGCTGCTGTTTTCCCTGGAGATGCAGGTGGATTTGCTGTATTCTACACCGAATGAGAGAGAGAGAGTGAAAGAAAAGCCACAACAACTCTAAGTCAGCTTGCAAACTTATGCTTTCATTCTATTTCATATCCACTCACTTCTGTGTGATAGATTCAGTTTCTGAAGCCAACACTGCAGGAGAACTTTACAACCCCCTAAAATCTCCTTAGTCCTACCTGCCTCCCTCTCCCAAGTCCTACTTGCCTCCCTCTCCTATATCCTCTCTTTCCTTTTGCCCCTCCACCCCAGAATCAAGGTATTGGGTTTCACTCTTATTTACACTGCACTCTTCATACTGAAGTAAATCAGATTCAGTTATATACAGCTTAAGGTGTTTTCATGCTAATAATGGCTAAAGAAGCTTCTGTACAAATCAGAATTACAAAACAGATGTTAAAAAACCTTTTCTTATCAGTGTCTTTAACCAAACCAGAAAAACCTACTTTGTGAATGCCACTGAATAACCAAATCACATCTCTCTGCATATAAATTTTCTTTATTTTTCAACAAAAGGTTTAGGTTAACTCAGAAAAAGAAAACCAAACCACAACATTATCTAATTCTTACTTCCTGTCTCTTCTTCCAGTCCTCCTTGACTGTTCCAAACCGCTTTGTCAATCTAGAAATTTTAGCCTAAATGGGAAGAAGATGAAAACAAACAAAACCATAAATGTCCTCCCCAAGAATCATCAAAGAAATTATACAAACTAAAAGATAAATAACTAACACATCAAGTCGAAGACTATCTTGGTATGAGGGAAAATTATTCTTCCTTGAAATACAGTACAACTGTATTATTTCAGAACAGCAGAAAGACAAATCTGCGTATCACAATCCAGCTATCATAGAGACAACTTGAATTGTTTTCCTTCCTATTCACAAACTGAATCCCTCTTTCATGATCACACAAAACTCTACATTCATGAAAGCCTTATATGATGTTATTAATTTGACAGTGTAACTGATGGCTAAAGACACTGGTAAACAACTATACTGAAAGCGTCTTAGCAGTTAAAAAGTCAACATAAAATGTCTGGGGCAGTGAGAGGAAAGAGTGGTGTAGTAGGAACTGGTCTGGCAAACTCCATATTTCTTCTAATGCTAAGACAGTCTTATTGTTTGAAGTTGTTATGACATGAGCTTTTAATTGTCTTGTCACTTCAAAATTGTTTGACTTTTGTGACGTTCTTCATGTCACCACTACGTATTTTTTATAAGAATACAAGAAAGCATATTGCATTCAGCACTAGCTATTTGTTTTCTTGCTAATTATTTAGTTTCTGGGTAAACAACATGTGATGTAGAATGTTCAAACAAACTCCAGTGGCATTCTCCTCTTCTTTCTGCGCTTTTCCATTTTTAAGCAAATTTCTGGCTTCATAGAGGCATTAGATATTTTCATACCTAGCATTTATTTGAAAAATGTCATCTAACAGAACAGCACAGAATGGAAAGGAGAATGGAGAAGTGGTCTACTAGCAGCTAATGAATCAGTTTGCCAGAAGGAAGACCTGTTTTGGGTTTTTTTGATGATTAATCGGTTGCATTCCTCTTTCTGAGTAGGAAAATACAGTTTTACAACTCAAAAAGAACATCAGCATTTGCTGCTCCCCCACCCTCTTCTCCTCTTGAGAAGCCAAAATGGCTTCCCTACTGACAACTACAGGACACTACTAAATTCTGAGGAACTTATTTTTGAATTTGACCCCAGTATGCAGTTGAACACACAAACACTCACCTGTAGTTCAGTAAATGCAGTTTTATGCCTCTTGGTACATTCAGCTTTCTCTATTCGGGCTTTCAAGTCTGCTAGAGTCTTGTCAAATACCACACACTGTAAAGTGGTAAGTTTTTCTTCTAACAGTTTCTGGATAACCTGCAAAATTATACAAAAAATAACAACTCAATTCCAAAATTTGGGGGACCATCTATAAAAATATTCTCAACTCTTAGCCAGTATCCTGCTATGAACAGAACAATGACAACTGTTGTGCCCTGTCAATCAAATAAATCTATAGACACCAATAAGTATGTGGTTGCACAGCTAAGAAGCTTCTGTATCTGCTTTGGCAAATACAAATACAAATGGTCCCTCTTTGCCATTAATTCAAGAAATTAATTTCACTGCTGTATGGTAATTGCATAAAATCTTACTGCATATAAAAAGAATCTTAACAACAGAAAATATTTTCCTCAAGTGCAGTGTTTACACAAAGTTTTCTTCTTACTTTTCTGTTCTTGAGAGGGACACTGGCATTCAAAGAACAGAAACTGAAGACAGTCAACAAAACCTTATTTCTGAGATGCATTTTCCCCTAGGAAAAAAAGCAGTGTTGCTTTTCTTGCAGAAGCTAAAAACAGAAAAGGACTGATTTTCATGTAAACTTCTTACTTAAATTTTTTCTCCCTTTTATACCTTTTGCAGTGCAAAAAAAATTTCTTGGGAAACAAAAATAAATAGGCAACAAACGTGGCTCAGTTTTTGCCATTTTTGTTTAATGAAGTTTCAACACACTAGCTAACTAATGGAAAAATAGTACAATTTTTTTTCTTCAAGATCATAGGTTCCTTACACAGCAATGGTGCAATCAGGCAATTAACAGTTCTACAAAAATCTGCAAAATGTGATGTTGATTGCACTCTTGTTTGGAGACACCTTCTTCAAAGTTAGATAGATAGCGCATCACATATAAGCTTCCTACACTGAAATAACACCTTTACCAAGATTCTCAGACTAGAGTCATATGAGACTTAAACTATTGTATACATTTCAAATATAACTCCTGCAGCATAGTTTTCACATGATATTTGGTCTTTTATTAAAAGTAGGGCAATGTAGGACTTTATACAAAATAAGCCAACTTTTATTATTTGAATTATATCCAATGCTCAACCACAAAAAAGAGAAAGTGTTTGGAGCTGCAGGGAAAGGATAGCTAATTCAGAGATGGTAACACAAGTGACAGGTGCATGTATGTTTTTCGCTCTGCACCTCCATTCTACCTTTTGTAATTTTTGGTCAACATCCTTTCTAGCTGTAATTTTTACTTGGAGTTCTGCTTCATAATCTTCTCCCATGCACCGACGATGTTTAAAATGAACATCATCCATGTCCTCAGATTTGGAACGCTTTCTCTTTGATGCTTCACCTGGAACAATTAGATACAACTGCTTGTGAGGAACTCTTGAAAAAACAGATATCTGCAGAATGCCATGATTACTACGAAGTTTCATTTATCTGCAATTTAGGCTTTTTCATTCTAAACCAGTAAGAATGCCTTTGGGAAAACAACATGCTTGATGACATCAAAGCAAAAAACCAGTCCCTTTGGTATCTGTACATTACTGCCCTGTGAGTTCTGCTTCGTGATTCACCAAATCACTACCCCATATGCAAAATGACTCTAATACCACCATTCCCTCCCCAGAATTTCCCTCCAGTTCTTCCGGTGCCTATCAGCACCATCCTATAATGAAATACGGCTTCTCCTCTTTTGAAAAAGGAATCATCTTCTAGGATTCCAGCCAAATAAAACTGCATCTCATTCTAACTGTGCCAGCAATGAACGGTATTTACCTGCCATGAAGTTTTAACCTGTACCTCCAACACCTGACTCAAAAAACATTCCAACTTTTTTCTTACTTCTTGGGTACGAAGTAAAAATCTAACAAAAGAACAGGCCAAAACCAGAATTGTATTATAAAAGTAATTTTCATCACAGCGATGAAGCACAAAAGAACCAAAGAGACCTAATTCACTCCTCCAGCTCCTGGCACTGTGTCCAGCAGAAAATTCCTGAGGACAGGAGTGACATCTGTTTTCATATAATCTTCAAGAAGGACAACAAGGACAAAGGGAATTACAGGATGGTCAGCCTTACCTCAATCACTGGGAACATGATGGAACAAGTAATTCTAAAAACTAGCGCTAAACCCATTCAGGTGGTGGTGATGCGGAATAGTCAGAATGGATTTATCAAGGACAAGTCATGCATTATCAGCTTGTTACCAAAAAAATTGTACTTTCTTCTAAAAAAGAGTCTATGTAGCAGTGGGGGAAGGTGTTGGAAAATTCTTTTAACTTTAGTACAATAGTGTTTTGACCCCTACATCTGTGACTATTAGTCTTGCGTCAGCTACTGTTTCCTTATTTACCTGTATCAGTGACTAATTTGTACTAGCAAATATCTTACTTTTGAGAACTAGGATTGTGTGTCAGTGCAAAGAATGATGAAGTACGTTACAACATACTGACCTGACCCCATATTTAAGATACTCTCAAGGAGAAAAGATTCATTAGAACATCTGCAACCATATCCCAGTAAGTCCACAGAACTAATTAGTATATGTGCATGTACTCGAGAAACGTAATATGTAATAGAATTGTGATGAATATTATTAGTGTCATGAACGTAACCTGGTCTGTTAGGTTGCTGGGTGTGCATGCTTTATGGAGCTATTCTCATGCACCCAGCATGCTGAATAAAGTAACGTGGGCTTTCTAACCTAGCAACTCGTTGGAGAGTTTATTTCATGGGTTGCAGTGACAAGCCTGATAGCTGCCTATGGTGAGACAACTGGCTTGGTGGATGAGGGGAGAGCAGTGGATGTTGTTTATCTTTAGTAATGTTTTTGACATTCAAAACATCCTCAGCGACAAATTCAAGATGTATGGCCTAGATAATTGGACTGGCTCAACTGAGGAGATCCAACAGCTGTGATTAGTGGCACATAGTCCAGCTGGAGCTCCTCACTAGTTAAGTACACCAGCAGATGCTACTGGTACCAACATTAACATCTTCATTTATGACCTAGACAATGGGATAAGAGGACAATTTGCAAATGATACAAGACTGGAAGGAGCGATTGCTACAATAAATGGTTATACAGCCATTCAGTCACATGGACAAATTGGAGAAATGGGCAAACAAGAACCTCATGAATTTTAACAAAAGGGAATGCAAATTACTGCACTTGGGTAGGGATAAACACAAGTACTAGTACAGGCTGGGAACTCACTAGCTGGAAAACAGCTTTGCAGAAAAGGCCCGGCTGGTCTTCATGCATATGAAGTTGAACACGGGCCAGCAATGTGCACTGAAGGCCAACAATATCCTTGGCTGCCTGAAGATGAGTATATTGCCAGCAGGCTGAGGGAGGTAATTAGTCCTCTCTAATCAGGAGATGTGAGACTGAACCTTGACTCTTATGTCCAGTTCTGGGCTTCTAAATACAAGAAAGATCTAAGAATACCGGAGAGAGTGCAGTGTAGATTCACCAAGGTGTTTTACAGACTGGAGCATCCATCATGAGCTGGAATTGTTTAACTGGAGAAGGCCATTAGGGCAGAGTGAACAAAGAGCAAGACTGTTAATGAGCACCAGTAACAGGACAAAAGAAATGGATGTAAACTGAAATACAGGAAATTCCACTCAGGCATATAAAAGCTTTTTTACTGTGAGGGTGGTCTAACACTGGAAGTAGAACACTGGAAGGTTGTGGAATCCCCACCTGGGGAGATACTCAAAACCTCTGTCTGGACACAGTTCTGAGCAAACTGACCTGGTTTTAAATAGGGGCTTTGAACTAGATAATCACCAAAGGTCCCCTCCCACTTCAATGATTCTGTGCTTCTAATACAAACCACCCAGTGAAGTGTAACATTTTTAACATTACGTACTTCTCTCTGTCTGTTTCTCTTCTTCTTTGCGGGCCTCTTCTCCTTCTTTGTTCTCCTCGCCCTCATTTATTCTCTCCTCCTTCACCTCTTCTATAAACAGAAGAAAGAACTCCACATGTTACTTAGACCTCCAAAAGTCTCATAATGGTTCTAGTTTGACTAGCAAATTCAGAATACTTATTAAAAACCATGTCATGGAAGACAAGAGAAATAAGAATGACAGACAGGAAATGCAGATATGAAAAAATAAGAGAATACCCTTAAAACAAAAATTTGAACTATCATCTAACACAATAAGATTCACTTCTGAATCTGCTTAGCAATAAAATCAGAATTACTGAGCCATAATAACTATAATAACTGAGGTAACAAAATGTCTCTGTTACCTCTGAAACGAAAAATGTATTTTTAAACTGTGCTGAAGTTCTCAACAAATTATTTTAGCTTATTTTTCACACAGGGAAAATGTATAAAAATTTCAGCAACAAATTACTAGTATGTTTCTCTATTTACAACTGGCAAATTCAACCATAATCTTTATAGTAGAAAAGGTCTAGATTCTTCTTTGGCTGACAAATACGAATTTTCATTTAAAGTTTCTTGCTAATACGAATCTTGATAATACAATATCACAAGTGAGAACCAGTCATTTAAAACTATACAGTTTAGGAAATGCTTAAATAAAGAAAAATCTGAATCCACGAACAGACAGAGGTTAAAATGAAAAATGCTAACGTTTCCTGAAAAACTTTATTATCTGTTCCATGACATTCCCTTATGTGTTTCATACAGGTTGTATTTGCTACCTCTACACTGGCTGGATACAACCTATAACTATTGCTTTTGAGATTACATTAGAATCTATTCAGAATATAACAGAGCAACTCAGCACTGTGCTATGCACATCTTGTTCTGTACACTTCTTCTATTTTCTATACTTGTTTTGTCATTACACAGAGTTTACTACCTTTTTCAGGGAAAGTTCTGGCTGCAAAGGTATGCTTGATGCTCTCTTAAGATTAAATTTTACTTCTATTATGAAGAACATTTTCATGATTTAAAACAAGTCAATAAATCAGAAAAAGGAAGGAGTCAGAAAATAAAAATCTGAAACTACGAATTTTTTTTGTTAATTTATGCAAGGAATAATAATCAGAATATAAATTCTTCAAAGCCCAGCTGATTTACTTTTAAAATAATAAAACCGGCATAGTGCCTATGCCACCTGCTTTTTAAGACTTAGAGATAAGCTTCATGTATTTAAGTGTTAAGAATAAAATAGGACTCATTTACCTAAGAATCTAAATGAGAGTCACTAAGTTCAAGAGAACATTTCCCACAATTCATGGATTTTAATATTCAGCTGAAAGACACAAATATTCCACGGAAAGATACACACACCTGGAATGTCTTTAACACATGTCACAAGCTTCAAAGTTAAGTTTTTCTCAGTTCTGTGTAGAGCACAAGTAATTTCAGGGATGAAGAAGTCCTTCCCTTACAAACTTCCATCACTGGGAAGAAATCTAGCTCATTTAACTAAAAATTGGTTTAAACACAATGCCCACTAAACCTCTCTAGTTATGGAGGAGAAAATTTTACAACTATCAGCTTATTTTTCACTGATAATTTGTGTGGATCTCAACACAAAGATACAAAGGTGTTTTGGGGTTTTTTAATCTTAACAGGGTCTAAAAACTTTCAGTGCCTGTTATGTCACTTTTAAGAAGATGGAGCCAGACTTATTGTAGAGGTGCATAGCAAACCATAAGAGACAACACATGTAAGCAGAAATGAGAGATTCTAACCAATAAAAAGAAAAATGAACACATGAAGAAAGCCAGGTTGCCCAGAGAGGTCATTCAGTCTTATCAAGGGAAGTTTTCAACACCGAACTAGATAAAGTTCTGAGCTACCTTGTCCATTTCAGAGTTAACCCTACTTTAAACAGGAGACTGGACTAGAGACCTCTTTAGGTCTTCTTGTATACCATAAAATATATTAAAAAAATAAATCAAGTGAATCAAACACAAAGCAAAATATCTTTGTTCTATTTATTACATTTTAGTTGGGAAAAAAATCCATAAAGGACTGAAAGATTACAACTGATGAATCCAATATCCATTAGCGGACAGGTAGTTCTATCACAACATATGAACAAAACTTCATGCTTAGTTATCTGCCACTACCATATTCTGAAGTTCTCTTTTCAGAAGACAGGCTGTACTTTTTTAACTCTTAACTGCAGGGATTTTTCTTAAAAGGTTGTATAGAGAAGCCTAGAATCTAGGTGTCTAGAATGCACTTGAAGTGATAGCAATTCTGAGAAAGACTTCAGATTTGCTCTGGCAGAGATACTTACTTGGTCCAACTTGACAGATTAGGTAAGAGACAGAACATAGCAACAGCTCCCTGAGGCAAAAACAACAGTTCACCTAATCCAAGATCCTACTTCCAACACTTTCATGTCAGCTGATCAAGGAGGGAGGAGTATGAGGAAAAAAGAACAATTACACACAGTCCCAGAAAACTTCCACAGCTTTCTGAAAAATTGTGGGTGAAAGACCTCCAGAGTCTTAGGGTTTCTGTCCTTGGTAGCCTTCAAGAAAATTCCTCTTCCACGGAAGACAAATGTAGGTAAACTTCTGGCAGAACTCCATATTTCTCCACATGGAAAATCACCTCTTCTTTCATGCCTTGATCCTGCCTCTCATTTTTTCCTTTCCTTCATTTGATACATGTGGTTCTTGTGGAGGAAAAGACAGGAAATACCTATTCTCCACATCACTTGCTGTTTTTCACATCTTTGTCGTATCTCTACTCCAACTTTTTTACAGACTAAAAGACTCTACTGTAACATACATTCCATCTTTGTCCAAAAGTTCTCTTTCTGATATGATTTGAGTCAGGAAGTGAAGAAGCTGTAGGAGGAAATGACCTGACAATGTATAACAAAGAGGGCATAAGGTACGACTCTGCACAGGCAAAACCTCAAGCCTCGCACAGTGCAAGGACACAGGGACAGCTAAAGGCTACACTCAAAATAATAATAATAATAATAATAAATGGAGATTTTAGACATTAAGGAATAAGAAGCCTGTGACTTCCAACAACAGAATGAAGACTCCCTCTCTACCTGCAAATCTGAAGTTACTGAATGGGTATAGCACTGATAAAACATTATGAGGAACTGCTTTGCTCAGCCTCAATGAGTGAACACTAATTAGAGATTGTATCACTGTCTTCCATCACATAAAGGGAGGGCAGAGAGAAGACAGAACCACTACTCTTTGAGGTGCACAGCAACAGAACTGGAGGCAGTGGACACAAGCTGGAACACAGAAGATGCCAATTAAGAAAGTTCTTCACTGTTAAGGTTGGTTAAATATTAGGCCACCCAGGAAGAAGTTATGGTTTATCCATCCGTGGAGAAGCACAGAAGTAAACTGCCAAGGTCCCTGAGCCATGTGATATAACTGGACCTGCTTTGAGTAGGAGGCTGAAATAAACACCATCAGAGGGTTAAATTAAAATTACTCCATGATCTTCCCTATTGCTTTTTCATGTACTTTTCAGTTCTGAGCTATCTTCTTTGACATGGGGAGTGGGAAGGACAGGGAATTAACAAAAACATTTAAGACCGCGGCATCTCATGGTAAAGTTTCCCTCAGCTTCTTAATTTGTTTCCAGCGTTCTTTACTTGCTTTCTTCAACTTCCACTCTCTCAGTATTTCTTCAAAGCTGCCTTCTATAATCCTGGAAAATTTTTCTTAAGTGGTGAGTCAGTTCTACTTTCCTATCAAGTTCTGAACGTTTTTGTACTCATGCGACCCAGTTTGTAGATAACCACAATGAGTTTCATCTGCCATGTTTATCCCTCAGTCATTCAGCATTGTAAAATTCTTCTCCAGTTTTTCACAATAACATCAGCAAACTGTCACCTCACTACTTACCATTAATTTTAGGCAAATTATTAATTCTGTCACACAGTGCAGTCTCTGGAACAGATAACTGCAGATTTATTTTTCATTCTTCGACTTATTATTCCTTCCATGAGGACTTTCTATCTTACATGAAGACAATTTAATTTCCAAAAATGCTCGGTAAGAAATCAGTTGTGCTTGGATATCCAAGAGAATTCAAATACATCAATCAGGTCTTCCTTATCATGTGCTTGTTTGCATTCCCAAAGGGCTCCAAGGTTTTCTAATGTATGATCTTTTGTTACAAAAATCTGTGACAACATAACTATTGTATTTACTAATTCCACCTGAGAAAAAAGTTCTCTTAATCTGTCCATTTGAATAAAAGCTTCTAGTATCATTCTTCCATTGTTGTTTAGCCATGATGGTTTTCATCTGGACTTCTTGAAATCTTACTTCTTAACTCAACAGTTTGCACCTGTGCCTCCAACAGAGCATCTTGAAATGATCTTCATATGGTCTCCACAGTTTTAATTTTCACAGACTCTTTCCAGAAGTTATTTGTTAACTTCTAAGATAACTCTACTTGTTTTCTCATACAATTGTTTCCTGCCCATGCAACCTCTCTGCTATTATCTTTGTTGCTTTTTCTGGACAATGACCAAATTTCATTTTATGAACAGTCTCAGTTACTGCCATGCAACTGTAAAAGTCAAACTATTATAGCTAATAAGTAAAACAACTAGTCAAGAGAATTTGTTTTGTCACCAAAACTGAAAATCTGAAAAAATATTGCTGGATACAGTCAATTCAAACTTCAGCAAACAGTAGTCCAGTATTTAGTATTAACTTCAGCCTTTTTGCTCAGAGCAAACTCCTCTGTGACCGCTGTTTTTTCGCTGGGTAAGATGGAAAAAGCAACCCTAATGTCTCCAGTAACAGAACCCTTAAACTGCAGAAGAAACTATGGAATCTACCTTATCTCTGTTTAATTAGCACAAATTCAAAGGTAAATACCAGAAAAGGAGGAGTCTGAAACATGGCTGAAGAGACATTCTTATCTCCATTTCACTAGCTGTTTAGAGACTGAGGATTCAGAATCTCACATTAGTGAAAGACAGTCTTATCAACAGTGAAACAAGACTTGATAAAGTGTGGTTACAAACTTCCCAGAGGCTGAAAAACACCTGAATCTTGTTTAAGCTATGGAATTTCTACCCAGTCAAGCATATTTAAAACCACTTAGCTTAGCATGGTCATCATTTCATAAAAAGCTATACAAGGGGTGAGAGGAGGGAGGACAAGAAAAGAACAACAGCAAAAAAATCCAACCCCAAGATGATCTGAAACATATCTTTCTTAATTACAGATAGAAGAGCAGTGTCAAGTTATCTGTAAATTATTAATCTGTTTTATTTTCACAAGTGCAATAATATGACAAGGAATGCCTCACGTAAAAAAAAAGAAAAAAAAGCTTACAAAACTCTGACAATAATATAGAGGACATCCATCCAGTTTAACTTAAACAATCTTCTGCTAACTACATGAAGAGATTAAAGTACTAGCTTCCCACACTTCACATTTAAAAGCATTAATCAGTTGCCATAGTTGTCAAAGTCAGATAAACCCCACTATGAGTTAAATGAATAACAGCCTTGCATTTTTCATTAAACCTTTCCAACACTGTCTTCTAGTGAAAAAAAAGAAGTTACAACAAATAGGAATTGTGGTATGCCTGGATTACAAATATGTTGTCCTTCTTACCATTTATTTCCACATTAAAGGCGGCTGAAACCCCTTCTTCCCCACAGAAGCAGTAAATTAATGCATTTCTCTTCTTACAAATCCTTCTGTTCCATCTCTGGCAATTACTCATCCTCCCCCTTTTTCCACCCACCACCTCACCCAAGTTTGCACCTAAATTTGCAAAGAGTATGAAAAACAAAACCCAAAACCCCAAATCAAAACAAACCAGATCTCTAAGATGACAGTTTTTTGGTGTTACGATAGTTTTTTGGTGTTACTTTCATTTTTTCCTGGGCCTCAAATGCCACCCTTGAAAACTGCAAGACTACATAACATAACTAGAAGGTAACACTGCCTTTTTGATTCAGAAACATGAAACTAGTGTGTCATTCTAAAAAAAGAACAAAATCTCAAAGTTGAATAGAAACCACCAATTTAGAAAATTCTTACCTGGAAGACTTGACTTGTTTGGTACTATCCCTTCAACCCGTTCCTCTTTCTCATCACAGGGATCCTCTTCATCAGACAGTACTAAGAAAGCCTCTTTTGGCAGACTTTCATTGCTTTCCTGCTTGGATGGTGAACCCAAAGAGTTGTCTATTTTCTCTTCTAAATCTGGGGCTGTGTCATCCACTGGAAGCAGAGAACTTTTAGAAAAACAGCTCAGATCATCTTCAGAAGGGGCTAGTTTTTCCAAAATTGGAATAATTTCATCTGTTTCCATAGAGTCAGTATTGTCCGAGATACTTTGACTTGGCTCATCTAATGTCTTTGGAACAGTGGTTTCTGAAAGACTTGCACTCCCCTCTCGTTTTTCCTGGTCAGCTTCCATACTGCTAGAGATGGCTGCTTCTCCAACAGCCTCTTCAACAGTTACTACTACTTCAGTCCTCTTTTCCCCACCAGGTGAACTGGAATTAACGGTTATATTATCTGTTTCTCCCTTTTCTTCAGAAGAGTCAGTAATATCATAGACTGGTTTACTTTCACCTTCCAATGGGATGTCATTCTTACTTTGGTCCAAATTATCTTTTGTATTATTTTGTTCATGCAAGTTGTCTTTATTGCTACCAAGCACGCTATTTTCTGCCTCACAAGCTACTGGAGTATCAGTATCTTTATCTTGCTCAGGAGTATTATTTTCTGGAGACAGCGTTAGAGGTTTGGGTTCTGTGTCATTGAGTATGTTTCCTGCCCTACTTTCAGGGCTTTTGGCCTCATTAATTTCATTAGAGGCTGTTCTTTCCTCTTCTGAGTTAACACACAAGTCAACTATGCCATTAACTTCCTTCTTGTCCTCCATACAGTCTGAATTGCTTAAAGGGGAATTTAAATCAGAATCTCCATTCTCATGTTTTCCATTTAACAATTTCACTTCAGTTGTCTTCAACAGCTCCTCTTTAACCTTATAGACAGCTTCAAGTTGTTGTCGATCGCTTACTCTCATTGTTTTTCGCGCTTTAAAGACTTTTTTCTGAGGTTCATCTGTGCTGTCCATCTTGACTCTTAAAAAAAAAAAAAAGAATTGTGAAGGTAAAAATTTATCATCATTATTTTAGTACTAGTCCTGTAGCATTTAGCACATTTTAAAGTAACCAGTTTAACTGTATCAACAAAAACCAAGAAACAACTGTCAACACAATTAAATTCCTGACCTCACAAAAAGTGAATACAAGTTTTTATATATGTTGCACAAATCCTTGTATGCAAAGATCACAGACATCACACACTAGGCAGTAGTATTCTGACTACACATTTTAAACCAGATGTCTCAGATGCTATACTAAGGCATGAGTCAGCAGCCTTTCTTCTCATAAAAAAGTAAAAATAAATATAAACTGATAGGTCAAGAATATTTCTATCTTTCTGAAAATATGTAATTTCATGAGTTTCAAACAGAATTAACAACTGGGGCAAATGACAGGATTTTTATACCAAGTTACTTTAAAAAAACTTCATTATATAGAAAACATTTCTGAACGTTTCATTAAGATATTGTTTTTATACAGACCTTCATCTTCTATATCTATACAATGGTTAACTGAACATGGGTTTTTAAAGCATTTTCATTCAATTTGCAATAATATTTTACTAAGACTATTTTTGGCCATAAAAACTACAGGTGATGCAGCACCTTGTAGAAAAATTTCCACTTTCAAGTAAAATAGGTGGGTTCGCCCTCTATACCATTATATTCACTTCATTCACCCACACAAATATCAAGAAAAATAGGAACATTTATTTAAAAATTAAGAAAAATAATGATAGAAAATACTTTATCAAATCAATAAATGGAGATAAATTCGGCATTACCTAAGAATTTACAATGATTTTGTTGAAATACAAGAAAATCTTATTTGTTTTCATTAAACAAAGCAAATCCACAGGGATTTTTAAAATAATTTTCCCCCACATGGTCTTGCTTTAGGGCCTAGTTTTAAAGGATTATGTAAGACAATGTTCAGAAGCAGAAAGCAGTTAACGAAGTTGTTACATACTAAATGTAACTTAACAACTAAGATCTTGATTCAGCTGATGCTGACCAGTTTACCTCTACTGAAGTTACAAACCACCGTAAGTTACTCCTGTCTAGGATACAGCTTTTATTAAGTTTCTCAAAAACATGCAAAAATTAACTTGGGTAACTGTAGTTAAAAGACATCAGAGCAAGCAGAAAAAGAGAAAATATATCAGGCAGTTATCTTGGTATGATTTTTTTTCCCCACAAGCACCAGATAGGCAATGTTTATAACACTGATACAGCAGAATTATTAGACAAATAATACATTTTAAATATTTAGGATGATTCATTTTGCATCATCATCCAATCCACTTTCATTCACAGAGCTGAGAAATTAATTAATAAACTACATCTTGTCTTTTCAGGTACAATATAAATTATCTTTAAAATTTTATTGATAAAAGAAAGCAGGACTATTGCCAACACTAGCTCAAATCAATGATGGTTTTGTGTAATCACAAGTTCAAGAGTGTTTGGACAACCCTCTCGGGCACATGGAGTGATTCTTGGGGTTGTCCCATGCAGGGCCAGGAGCTGGATTCAATCCTTGTGAGTCCCTTCCAACTCAGGATATTCTACAATTTTGTGAACCAAGCCACAAAACTCAGAAAACAGATTCCACAGCCTCTAAGTAACAATTTGGCTCCACCCCACTTTGAAATAACCTTGCTGTCAAGTTTTATTTAGGCAGTCCTAAGAGTGCCCTTTAGCCTTGAGCAATTAAAGATGTCAAAGTTCCCTCAGCATCTCATTAAAGGTCACATGCTTAAGCTCCTATCATTTTGGATCCTGCTGGATCTTTCCTAGTTTACTTGAAACAGTTTGCTTATGAAGAAAATTATTTAACATTTATCCTCAACTGCAATATTCTGCATTGTAAAATAAGAATATATAATCTAAGGTACAATATGAATTCAACTACCAAGACAAACTCTAAACCCCACTATCATGACATGCCATACTTTACAATCATAAAGCTTCTTTGACACTCAGTTAACATGACCTGACAAAACCAGGAACAAAGCAGAAAGCAATTTTTTGCACTTCCTATTAACAAAACATTGAGTTTCCCTTCCACCTTATTACAGTTCTTTTCTGCAAGACAGTCTGGAATTTTTGGATTTGAGTTACTGACAGTACTTAAACAACACTTTGACTCACACATCTAGGAACAGATCACGGAATACGCTGAGGTGGAAGGAATCTACAGGGATCATCGAGTCCAACTCTTAGCCCTGCATAGGACCATCCCCAAGAGTCACACCATGTGCCTGACAGCATTGTCCAAATGCTTCTTGAACTCTGCCAGGCTTGGTGCTGGGCCCAACCACCCTCTGGGTGAAAAACCTTTCTCTAATCTCTAACCTAAATCTCTTGATAAAAGGTTATATCAGCTCTACTTATAGACTCTCAGTAATACCATTAAGACCTATATTGTTGCCAATCTTAACTAGATTTTCTGAATCAGATGGTCTATTACTGCATGGCCACTACTGGGAGCAAAACATAACACCTATGGAAACACTCATCTGAAACATCAGTTTACTTGTTCTTAGAAAACGTTCTCATCACATAGCCACTTTCAATCAGATGAAATATTAACTCCAGGTGAGCTGTTAATGCGTTTCCAGAGCTGCCTGCATGCTAAATACAGTTTCTTCATGTTCCTTCAGAAGAGAACGTATTTAACACAGGAATTCTAGACCTGAAGTTACAAAAAGGATATAAAAACCTCTAGTATTTCTGAAGTGCACATACAGTTTTTGAAAGCACATCCTTTCCGTCTTCCTAAGAACTCAGCATGTAAGGTACATTTTTTCACATCATTATAAAAGCATATGTCACACTGTCATGTAATAGAACACTGATAATCGTACTCACGTTCCATACATATAATCCCCTTCAACCAACATGCACGCTCTTACAGATTTTTTTCTTGTAGAGCCAATTTGGAAAAAAAAATAGAAAATTCAAGCTTTGGCTAACCTTGAATAATTTCAAGGCTCTTAATGGGTGACCCACGAGTGAGAGTCTACTGCTAATATAGTATGAGAATACAGGGCCTTTGCATCAAAATTACAACAGTTCGATCTCCCAGACTACAATGCTTTCTTTTACAGGCATTACAAGCATTTACAAAACATGTCACAATATTCACATTCTTACTTTTCCTATCACCAAAAGATATACTAACAGATTAACATAACATTTACAGACAACTTAAAATCATATTTATAAGTGCATCACTTTGTAATTAAAAAATATAAGTTAAAAGAAAGTAATATTTTCTGTTCTAATTTCTGTAATTACCCAAGTAGTTTTTCATTCATATTTTTAAAATAAGAGTAAATAAAGAGAAAATGAAAGACAGTTCATTTTAAATTTGCCAAGAATAGCAGTCTTAAAAAAATCAAACATCAGAATACCTTTATATTGATGCATCCTTACTTTTTTCTTTAAAAAATACTGAAAAAAACAACTTAAATTTCTAATATGTTTAAAAATTATGTTTATTTTTTATCATAGGACATTATTCAAAATTTAGTTAAAAATAAAGCTCTTATACAGTTCTAGAAAGAACCTGCAAGAAAAATAGGCTTCTCAAAATTCCATTGTTAGATGGTTATTTGAGTAACTCATGCATATTTTCAGCTCAATCCCACAATCTTTTGCAACCAAAGAGTATTCAATAAAAACTACCAAATAACTATTCAATAAAAGCTACACTAAGTGACAAAATTACAAGCACAGATGAGATGAACCAGCGTTTAGTGTTCATCTTTTAACAGCGAAATATCACGTAGCACAGCAGACCAGCCTTAAAGCGTTTCCAGCCATACCCACAAGGGAGCACAGTGCAGCCAAGGAACAGATCTCATGTGAGAGCTGAGTAAAAGAAACAAATCAATTGGTAACCAGTCCAGATAGGTTTGGTCACACCTCTGCCAGCCAATCAGGCGCCATCTGATAAACACTGCCTTCCAGCCTCTCAAAGGGGCAAGGAGGCAGCCCTTCAGAGAGCAATGCCAGAGCTAAGCTACATGAATTCAGCCTTGCACAAAAATAACATTTAAAATTACTAGTGTTCTAAATGAATGCATTTTGGTAGTCTCCTTTAACGCTTAACATTAACACGAATTTAAGTTATGTTTGCTTAAGCACTTCCCTCATCTGATGCTTGGGTGTTTTCTCTTTTTTTACTCATCATGTGACCAAATCACAAGGAGGAAATGAGTGGCCCAGGCACCAAGCCAACAGAGGGGAACCTTTTATTTCAAATAAAGGCATTTGTATAGAACAGCACAAAATGACTCCTGCATGTAGAGCTACATGTGTAAGGGTTAATTGCTGTAAGTAAGGTGGTAGGTTTTGAGCTGATTTTTTTGTTATGATTTTTTAAACGCAAAACTCAATTTTGGAAGACCAGTACGCACATATTGCCTACATTTTTTGTTGTTTAGACATGAAAACTCCCTTTTTCATTTTAAGCTTGAAAGTCATATACACTTCAGCATGTGAACAACTAACACACCATTAGGCACCTCCCTCCAATACCTGAAAATGTCTTTCTCATGAAGAAATGTGTGCTGCATGGCTGCCAATGCAGCTAGGAATACAGGGAGGTCTCTCCTCTAAGCCAATTAAAAAGTTTTCCTTCTATTGCCTTATTTTTTTTTTTTTTTACTATTATTATTCTGCAGAGAGATCACAGCTCTGAAGCAACAAAGGAAGGTATTAGATGCTGTGGATCAGCCTATGATCATGTGCTCAGGTAAGCAGCCCATGAGCAGCTCCAAACGTTAAGCCAATCAGCAAGGAGCTGCCTGAATCCTGCCTAGTAACAGGCAGCAGACAAAGGGAAGGTCATGGAAACACGGAGGGTGGGAGAAGGTGCAATCTAAACAATAGTGCAAAATGGGGTTTACATAATATCATGGGTCTAGAACAGCACAGGCACAGGGTTCCTGGGGGGCTTGCAGTGCTGGCCGGAAGCGCCACAACCATAAAATGTTTGCCAAAGCACAAGAACTACATGGATGAAGTAAAGTTCACTGATTGTGAACATCAGTGCTCAAATGTGCAGATCTGCTTAAAATCTACTTAAAATGCGGCTTAGCCAAATCAAGGAAAGTGAGACAGCAAATGGTCATGAGTATTTTGTTCTAGATGGAGAGTCTCAGAGAATGAAAGTGGTGAACAGAACCTACCTTTTAAGTTATGGTTCATAAAAAGCAGTTTTCAGTTGAATTCCTCCACACCAACGCTGATATTTCAGAAATTTTAAAATTATTTTCAAAGAAAAAAAATACTGATTGTGACCTATTCTTACAGAACTTGTGCTGAAATAACATGCCAATAATTTGTTTTTCTACCAGTAATACAAATCTACTGATCTGACTGAATGGAAGACAAACCACCAGCCTAATGATCTCCATATACAACTATGCCTTTGCTTTTAAATGCAATAAAGAAAGCAGAGGCCATGATTATCATATGTGCAGATAATATTTCTTCTAGCATACCACAGATGATTTGAGTTTTTCTCCCTTTTAGGCTACAGTTAGTGTTGGCTGAAAGTGAAAGAAGGATGTAAAATTATCTAAGAAAAAAATGACGTCATCATCCTATCCTATTTCACCTAGTTGCATGCACAGCAAGACCAGGTAAACGGCAATTAATCAGCTCTCTCGCTAATCTGTGCCCCCCTTCCAGAGGTGCGGGCGGTGCGGGGCGCGGGCGGCGCGTTCCCCTGCGGCTCAGCCCTGCAGTGCCGCCGCCGCTCCCCAGGGGGCGCCGCCGCGCCCCGCCGGCCGCGGCACCGCGGGGGGACGGCCGCCAGCCCCGCCTCCCATTGGCTGGACGGGGCCGCCGCGCCGCAGCCAATCAGGCGGGAGCTCCTTAAGTTCTACCTAGCAACAAGCCCCCACGCGGCGGGCGTCGCGCGCGGGCACGGCCGCGGGGGCGCGCGCTAAGCGAACAGGATTTTCCAAACGGCCTGATGGAAAGTTAAGGGCTTTATGTGAGACCTGGAGCTGCGCAACAACACTGACCCACGAGTGCGAGGCACGCGGGTGCACAGACATAATAAAGAAGAGGTGTTTAACGCGCAGGAGCATTTTTAGGCGGTTTTAAGGTCACTGAATTCCTGTAATATGGACTGCTTAATCAAAAAAAACCTGCCAAGATCCAACCTGGGTTTAAGTATGGCAGCTGGAAAGCTTTCCTTTCTTCAGATACCATGCAGAGTCTGTGCTTTTCGAGTATCCCAGCAGAAAATCAGTATTTTGTCACAAGTGCAGTATGACCTACTGCCTTGAAAGCAGAGGCCGTTCTCACCTGCCCTTGCAAACTGCCTTCTGAAGTTCAGCAAAACACTTAAGTCCATGTGTATATCTATGCCTAAGAAAAACACCCAAATCTATGGGTTAAAAGCTTCTGAAACCAGAGTAAACTCATGGTACAGTTTCAAACAGCTTGGTCTTGTGTACTCCATGTGATGGACAACTTCATATACAAACTTGAACTACACTCTTGTCACTATGGCATCACTGTGAATTAAGCAGTTGTCTTGTGTCTCCTCTACCTCAAGAGGATACTACTGCTTTTGACACTGGATCGTGAACCTGTTTCTCAAACCAAATTATTAACTGTAGAGCTTTTTCTCCCGAGAGAGTGCAGTGACTTGTGGGAAAACCAGATTCCTCCTGGGGGAAAAAAATGACGGTCAGGCCCATTTACACAGCTAAGGTATTTCATCTGCTGATGGTTTTGCAGAACTGCCCTTATGTGTTCATCAGGTTATGCTGTGATAACTATTACTGTAAAACACATACTTTGGAACATAGAAGAATGGAAAACAAGTGGAGAGCCTTTCCTAGACAACTTTTACAAGCAACTCAAGTGCCTTAGAAACACCTATTTTTTAGCACACGGACCTTAAGCTGATTCTTCAAGGAGAGTTTTGTCTTTTTCCATAAACTACATTTTAACGGCTATTTAGATTATTAAACTAGTAAAACTGCTTGTCTGGAATTCAGCAAGAGCAACAGGGCTGTGATAATGTGTTCTCTTACTTCCCACAAGTGTTAGAGATTTCAACTTTTTATCAGCAAGTCAAAACATAAGCTTTCAATTCATCTGCGAGATCTCCAAACACTAAACAAACATTGCTGTTTGAAATAGCGGTAACAGCAAAATTCAGCTTTCTTATAGACTGGGTTTTTTTCAGCACAAGCTTAAAAACTAAGTATGTTTCTTTCCATAGATAAAAAAAGATTTACTGAATGCATATAAAGTTGAATTAGTGCATTTAATATACATTTGTGGAGCACTATTATACACAGTTTCAATGTTATACTGCAGTTCCAGTTTTGGCACAGTTACTGTTATCCTTAAACAGGAATAGGACCTTATTAATTCCATAGGACCTTAATTCCATAGAAGTGGACACTAATTGCCAGAACACATCTACAATTAAAACCTTACCCAACTTCTTATATTCCAAACATAAAACCTGAACAACCTGAATTGTTTATGCACATGCAGACTAAAATATAAGAGAAACTCTGTGAAACAAAAATATTGAAAAAACCAAGGCAAGATGTTCTGTTCACACTTAGGCTTTTCTAGGCATTATAAATTACAGTAATTTTTCCTTTTATAAGGAAATAATTTATAATTTATACATTTAAAATTTATAATTTCACGTAAAAATTCAACAGGCTACATCTTTGAGAAAGTATCACTAACGTATACAGATTTGCATCCTTTTGAGGCAGATTTCTTTACATGTCTTCTGTTAGATAAAATGCAGGATTATTGTAATGAGAAAATTGATATATTCAGCCCAATAGTCCATATTTTCTAGACTAGTTCCTGTATCGCATATACAGCTAGCTGTAACAGTGTAACCTTGGTTTTCCAACACTGGCACCTCGGTGACATTGCAATTCAGAGGTGAGCTGCCTGATCCTGACAGAGATCCCCTGAGGTCACTTCTCAAATGCCAGGAGAAATAGAAGTGAGAACTCACAACAAAAAAGGCCATGCTGTATTAAAACGTTACTCTTTCCTATGCGTACAAGCGCTTTTTATGGGGTTTTTTTGCAGATTGCATTTTCTCAGTAATAAAAAAGAAAGTTTTAAATGAAACTAAACCAGCACTTGGGATTTGGCTGTGGAAAGGGTTATCAGTATTTCCCCCGGGGAAGAGACACCGTTCCTCAGGAGGGGCTCCGCACCTGCTGCCTCGCCCGCACCAGACCTGCCCAGCACAGGCACAGCACCCGGGGCTGGAGGGGGCACATCGTTTCATAAACTCATCCAGCTGAAGCCTGATGGGGACTCTCAGATTTGGGGGGCACGGAGGCTATTTGGGCGTTTTCCACGTGAAAGGATGAGTTTTCTTTCAGTAGGTGCCTAAGGGAGGCCAGGACACCGCCCCGGCAGCCATCTTGTTCCCTCACCAGCTCCCTGCCTGATGGCGGGGACTGCCGGCGATTTGCATACCCGCTCGGGATTGGCTGCGGGAGAGCTGTTTTCCATAACCCAAATCTGCCCGGCAACAGGCTAAAAATAGCCGGGGCTGCTGCCGGGAGCGGCTCGGCCCACGCGAGGGGCCAAAACACGCACAGCCCGCCCGTCGTGGCGGTATGTGCGGGCACGGCACACTGCACTTCCTCGGGAATTTTTTGTTTCCTTGTTCGTTTTGGTGGGGTTTTTTTGGTGTGTTTTTTTTTTTTTTTAAATGGCAAAAATAATTTCTGAAGTAACTCTTCAAATCAAAACATGAAGTATTATAACTTGCACATCCTCTTCTTTCTCACCTTCATTTCTAAGCAAGCAGGAACAGAAACCATGTTTCTTACTCTGTTTAATACCCCATGTCAGTTTGGTGAGGTGGCAGTGGGGGTAATCCACAACACCCGCAACAGATATCACCTAATCCTCACTACACGTGGACTGTGTTACAGAGGCTGTTTCTTGGCTCCCGGTATGTCACACCTCACCAGAGACCCACCCATAAAAATGCTCTACTGAAACTATAGACAGTGTGGAATTTCGAAAGGCGAGCACAATGAACCAAGAAAAAAAATTCCGTAAATACATAAGGCGCCTTTAGACTAAAAATTAAATGCAAAATGAGGTAATTAAAGCACAAAATTTCAAAGCTATTATGTAAATACATGCTCTGTGATAACTCTAGCAATGATTTACATGTACAGCATTTTACCATTTCAGCCTACAAAACAGGTATCATTTACAGAAGTTAGATTTTCAGTACTACTGAACTGACAGCATAAACTCTTCTGACTACAGCAGAAACAAGTGAAGAAATTTTCACACTTGTCACCACATCCACCCCCCAAGTTTCTGTTTCATGAATTGTTAGAGACAGGTGAAAGCCAAGCACTGTTAAGATGAATGGAACACCCACTGCACACAGGACATGTACAGACACTTTAATACAGGTCTTCAGCAGCCTGAAAAGTGCCATCGGAAGTGTAAGCCTATATATATGTGCACCTCTGGTATGAAAAAATGTATTTTCTACAAGGCTGTCACAAGTGACTATGAAGAGAAGGAAGAAAAGTCGCCAAAGCAGATGGTCAGTGACCACTGATGAGAGTTGGTATCTTCTGAATGACTCAAGAAAATACAATCACAAAAACTAACCAGAAATCCTAATGGGAAGGTTAAAGTGAAGTAAACCAATTATTTGTATACAATAAAGCTTAAACATAAAATTAGAAAAAAGCGCTAAAACACCGCCAAACAAACCAAAACCCACAAAAGAGTTTCTTCTAAAAGCTAGTTTACCCAAACTTCATTACCTGTACCTAGTGTTAGGACTATTTGTCGCAAGTATTCTTTATGGAAAGGTAGATTACTCTAAAGATGCTAGTTAGCTATCCTAACAAATTTTACTAGCAACTGTGCCCTGTATCACAAGACATTTATTCATTAATCAGAGCCTAAATATCTTCCAAAAGAAACTGGAAGGTGTGGAATGATGGGAATTGAAAAAAAGCCTGCCAACCTAATATTCATTACTAGATAGAAAAAAATCAAAAAGCATGTTTTCAGTGCTGGTAAACCACTACATTAATATGCTAAGGACCCTAGACAATGGCGGTAATTCATGTTTTTACAATGATAAACCATCACTCTATAATAAAATTCTATGGCAGTCAATTTCTTACTATATCAAGCATTCAATAATAGAGTAAGATTTATTTACCCTCATAGAAGGCTACAGTGACAGATTAAATTCTCTTGAGTCAATGGGTGGACAATTATTTTCCGTATTTGCTGCTAGGCAAAGATTTGTCACATCTCAAACTTGTACAGACTTGTAAGAAAAATTACTCATAGTGTCACCCAAATTGCACTTGAAACATTTCATAATCAAACATGTAAGCAAGCATAGCATAGATGATTCTTCAACTTAATCATGGTTATAACAAGCTCCGCAGACACAGATCTCCAGACTTAATTCTTTGCTAAGCTGCCTAAGGACCAGGAAGCAGAAAGCACATAAACCCAAGACAATTTCTTCATAGAGTTATAATCATGGAAATAAATGAATAGAACTACTAGGAATAAATTTTGAAATTATGTCACATTAGTTTTAAGTGGCAAAGTTGTATTGATCTGCATCAGCAACACCTTAAACAAGCAGCAAAGCACAATATG